ATAAAATGTATTATTATTATTGTTATTATGAGCCCAGCCACCTCTATCATGAGCAGGACTCAGCTGTCAGTCATGACGTGAAACCTCCTTTTAATAGCATCAACTAACAAATTAAAACCAAACTTATCAGAAAGGGACTTTAAAATACATTGGTGTGATAAGAACTACCTTCGATGACAGAAAACATCTTTGGGGAAAAAGCTGTTCGACGTGTACATTGATTTTTTTTTTTTTTTCTATTTGGCCCATGTCCCATTTGCTAACATGGAGGCAGCAGGCTTGATGACCTAAACTGCAGTCAGCCACCAGAAGGCGATCATGATATTTTGACTTCACTTTTGGGGAGCTGTCATGTTGTCCAACCTTATGTATGTCAATGGTACAGCCTCACAGAGCCGCTAACCTGGCTCTGGGTATCTTGTTATTCATTGTCCCATGTGGGACAGTCTTTACAGTTGCACCCCCACTAGTGGTAGAAATCCCCAAATTGTCTGGATGATATACATCCTCTCTGAATGCTCCATGTGTTGTAGGGTGTTATGAACATTGCAGCCCCTGTAGGGGTGCTAACAGGCATTCTTTTTTTTTTTTCTTTTTTTTTTTTAAACATTCATTGTTTAAAGTTGTGGTAAATGATAAGTCCTCTCTGCGTGTTAGCTTCACACAGCAACTTTGGCAACAGTTTGCAAACCCACAATGTTCCATTACTGGCTGTGTCTTCGTTTCCACTTCATAATGGTGTTTGTCATTGTATTGGATTTCTCCATAACTGCAGATGTGCCCTTGGATGATGATGTGTTGAAAGTGTCCATAGTGACAAGGTGACTCAGCCATTCTATAGCCACAAATACACCCACAGGAGACAAATATACCTTCAGGACACATTTCTTAATGGTGGAGATGGTACGAGTTAGCAGTGGCTTTAACAGAAATAAATAATCTAATCACCATTGATCTTTCAAATATTCATCCCCACTCACTGATGCATGATAAACACATAAAATGTTCATTTAAGTGCTGGAGCTCTATGTTTAACTGTTCTTCATCTTCACCTGTTTTTCCTCTGAATACAGACCTTGAACCTAGCGTACAGCAGCATATTTGGCGCCTACAGGAACTTTGTGGGTCCCCCGCACATCAAGGTCATGTGCAGGCTTCTGGGTTACCAGGGCATCGCTGTGGTGATGGAGGAGCTGCTGAAGGTCGTCAAAAGCCTGGTGAGTAGCACATATTAAACAGCAAGGGTGTGTGGGAGTGATAATTTCTTTGCTGATGCTTCCTGCTGTTACAGAGCGAACTGCGAGGAGGGGTTAAAAGAGGGTGCTTTTCTATGTTTGTTTGTCATGAATGAGATTGATATCATATACCAAATAAACAACAAAAAAGGGACTCTTTGTTGTTTGTTTGTGTCTGTTCTTCATTCTTTGAATATTTTAACTGTGAATGTGCTGCTGCTTAACGCTCTCCTTCTCTTGTGCAGCTTCAGGGCACCATAATGCAGTATGTGAAGACCCTGATGGAGGTGATGCCCAAGATCTGCCGACTTCCCCGCCACGAGTACGGTTCCCCAGGTAACTGACCATGTAATCGACTTGTTGTGAGATAAACCTGTACAAGTGCATTTGGAGAAATTGGTAAACATTCATTTGAATCTTAAGCAAATTTAAATGACCTATTCTACATCTGCTAACTGCACTAAAATGGTGTAAATGAAGATACCTCAACTATGACTTGCACATTGTTACTTCACATTAGTTTTCTGATTCCACAAAAATCTTTTATTTATAGAAATTGGAAAACAGTTGAATGCTAAGAATCAGGATGTAACTCTAGTTAAAAGAACAAAGCTGCGCAGCTACTAACAGCTATTATAAAGTTTTAATTGAAGCCTTTAAATGTGAGATGAACTAGTTGTTATTGAAATGAACTTGGATCAGAACACTTGGCATCAAAGAAAATTAAGTAACAGAATAAATACCAAGTTTTTGCACTTGTTTTGTTCAAATTATTTATTTATATTTCATATAAATGCACAAGATGACTGAAAACTCACTCTGAGTGCCCTCATTTTACAGAGAACTGTATACTTGAGAAAATTAGCCGTGCAAACTGCGGGAAGCCTTCGTACTGAATAAAGTTTGCCTTCTGCTGTGATGGACGGTATTTCTTTTCAGGTATCCTGGAATTCTTTCACCATCAGCTGAAGGACATTGTTGAGTACGCCGAACTCAAGACGGTGTGTTTCCAGAACCTGAGGGAAGTGGGCAACGCCATGCTGTTCTGTCTGCTGAGCGAGCAGAGTCTGGTACGGATCTTAGTTGAGACAAGTATTATTTAATTTCACATATTCAGGATGGAATTTAAATGCATTTTTAAATCTTTATATTTACCTGTCAGTGTTATGACTGTTACTGCTTCTTTCTTCCAGTCACAGGAAGAAGTCTGTGATTTACTGCACGCTGCACCTTTTCAGAACATCCTTCCAAGAGTCCACGTCAAAGGTAAATGCATGACAAACGTTTGGCTGAACTAGTTCGTACAGTAGCAGTTTCAGATGGCCACGCTCAAACACAGAGTGAGATGCTGGCAGTCATTTAGAGAAGTGAAACACGATAATCTTTTAAGCCATCCATAGTGTTTCACACAATTATATGCAGCCAAAATGACAGAAATAAATAGTGTGATAAAAAGAGAACAAGAGGAAGAGTTTCAACCCCAGCTGGCCAATCGCACCATACAGTGGCTGCAATGTCTGCTTGCCCCCAGTTCTGATGTCGGTAAGGTGTGGGATGTGTTTTTGTTTTTGAAGCTATTCAACCATCTGACAAGCAGCTCTGGTGAAGCATGCTGACCAGTTTTTCTTACCACTTAAAGTCCAAGGCTGTGACCAAAATCACTCCCTATTTACGTATATAGGTCACCAATATTTGGATTACTGTCCACCACGTGGGAGTGTGGGTTGGAGTGTGTGAGTGTGGAGTGCTGTTGAGTGGTGTGACGTGTGTGGCAGTGTCGTGATGTGCTGTGATGGTGTATGTGCAGTGCTGGTGAGTGGGTTCGGAGAGGAGTGACAGTGATTCATGCTCCATGTAGTGCACTCAAAAAGCCACATAATGGAAAATATAAAGAAATGCCCATGACATACACATACCTTCTGCTAACAATCTGCACAAAATATATAGTATAATAGTATTCATAAATCCGGGAATCTCAATTTACTGCTCACTGTTGAGTAAACCGTGCCTGACAACGAATTAATCCCTAGGGGCAACGGCCAGTGTATTAAGGCTTCCGGTGTAGTCAGAATATGAATGAAAATAAATTTAGATTGCATTTCGGCCAATGCGTTTTGCCTCTTTTGCTCTCCACATGGACTGTTTGCCTTCATATGCAGAAATTTGATTTATAGAGATTAAATATTTATTGTCTAAAAGGAGTATTGAATGGGCAAGTGATTTTAGACATAGCCCAAAATCAGTAATGCGTCACTGACACTTTTTGACTTCCGTACCCTGTCTGTGGCTTTCAACCCCAAGCCCATTGGTTTCTGCTAAAGTTGTGAAAACTGCTCACAAAATGTGGTTGCAAAGTATAAATAACTTCCTTAAACAGTGTGCATTTGTTGGGAGCCGTTTACAGAGTGGATTAGTAGAGTAGAGTGAAGTGGGTGCAGCTGATTCAGAGTAAACCACAGTGCGTGTCAAGTAGTGCAACAGCTCATTGTGTGGTTTTGAACAACAGAAGAGCTCTATGGCACAAAGTAATTAACTACATCAGGGTTCAGATACACAGATAATACTTTGTTGATTGTTGGCGACAAGAAAAATAAAGAATATCACTAGACCTTTGCTATTATGCTTTTCTTTTCATCACTATGTGCAGAAGGGGAACGCCTTGATGCCAAGATGAAGCGCTTGGAAGCCAAATACACAGCACTGCATATGGTTCCACTGATAGAGCGCCTTGGCACCCCACAGGTACAGCCAGTCGTCGTTACTGTGTTCACTGAATCAGAATCAGCTTTGTTACGAGTGAAAGACATTGACCAAATGATCTGAATATCACAGCCCTTTGTGTGACTACAATTCTTCACCTGTCTTTCAGCAAATTGCCATTGCTCGTGAAGGCGACCTCCTGACCAAAGAGAGGCTGTGCTGCGGTTTGTCAATGTTTGAGGTTATCCTCACACGTGTGCGAGGATTCCTGGACGACCCCATCTGGCGCGGGCCGCTGCCCAGCAACGGCGTCATGCATGTGGACGAGTGTGTGGAGTTCCACCGTCTCTGGAGTGCCATGCAGTTTGTGTACTGCATCCCTGTGGGAGCCCATGAGTTCACAGTGGAGTGAGTGCAGCAGTTCACACATCTGCACCACATCCTCTCGCCACATGTGATTTTTTTTATTTTAAGTGCTGGACTCACGCACCCCATTACTGTTTTCCAGGCAGTGCTTCGGAGACGGCCTTCACTGGGCTGGCTGCATGATCATCGCTCTCTTGGGCCAGCACAGACGCTTCGACATCCTCGACTTCAGCTACCACCTTCTCAAGGTGCAGAAGCACGACGGCAAGGACGAGGTCATCAAGAGTGTGGTGAGTTGGAGAGATTAGGATTAGCAATAATGTCATATACAATGACATAACCCCATGAAAACTTAGGGTTTTCACACTTTTATCTATGTTTTTATATGACTCAAACGAGATAAAATGTTAGATAAAATTAGTGAGATTAGTTCTATTAGGTTTTGTTACCTTTGGACAGAGCCAGGCTAGCTGTTTCTCCCATTTCCAGTATGCTATGCCAGGGTAAGCGGCTGCTGTAGCTTTATATTAAATATACAGACATGGGTAATTTCAAACTCTCCACAAAAATGTGAATACATTCCCCCGAAACCCCAAATTCCATATAGGACCCTGACCTTACTTTTTTCTGTACAAAATGCACTGA